GGGGAAGGCACCCGAGACCCGTACCCTGGCTGAGGGGACAGGCGACCTCTGCTGTGAACCTGTAAGGCGGTTATCACAAGCGACAGTCTGCCTCACACCAAGTGCGACAGCCAATGAGGACCCTGGGGCTGACCCCGCCATAGGCAAAGGTGGAGCGCCCGTCCTGGCCCGTGAGGCCGGGGCAGCCCTGCGGTCTCCCTCCCCGCCCCTCCTCTGTGCCAGCTTCTCCTTCAAAACTCTTGATCAGGTTTCCCTGCCTGGTGATTACATTACAAGGCAGGATTTGAGGTTTTCCTCCCGCTGCCGCCAAGTGGCCACCAGAGCTCGCGCCCCAGTAAACCTAGGGTTCCCGGGCCAGCTGCCTGGCAGGCAGCGTCTCCACAGTCGGTTTTGTGTGTTTTCCACTTACGTTCATTCTCTCCTGCATGCCAGGAATAGAGAGGAGCTCTGAGGGACATCCCCTTCTCCTCTGGTCTTTATCACTGACACTCACAGGCCGGCCTTGGGGACAGGAGTCAGGGGTGCTGGGGTGAAGCCGTCAGTGTCCAGCTCACTCACTTCACAGGTGACAGAGTCGGTGCCAGGCACAAGGCGTGCACGCAGGCGGGTGCGTGAGCATGGACAGTGGGCAGCCCCCTGTCTGCAGCCCCAGCGCTGAGAGCTGACAGCCCAGGGCTGGTTTCTCCAAGGGCTGGGGAGCGTCCCGCAGGCAGAGGCCACTGTTAGGCCCAGCTGAGCGGGGGCCTCTTCTGCAGTGACAGCCCAGCCCTGGTTCTCTGCAGGGCGTGGGCCAGCCCTGATTCCTGGAGAACGTTCTTTCTTGGGGCTCGGCCCGTGCTTGCGGGGTGGGAAGAGGCACTGGCCTGGGTTGCATGGTGGCAGCCCCCACAGGGCCCACAGCTGGTGACTGAAACTCTGCAGTTGCTGCCCTGACCCAGTGCAGGTGGGGCCCTTCGGGAGGGTGGTGGCAGCCCCCACCTGCTTTGCCACCCTGGGAGCTGTGGCAGTCACCCAGGCCTGGGCGGTGGGGGATGGACCCTCTTCCTTGAGCCCTGCTAGGCTCCCTGGCTGCAGCGTGGCCATGTGATCAGCTGTGGGAGGAAGTGTGGGCTTGGGGGCCCCCCAGGGTGGGACCACCATTCAGCTTGGTGGATTTGTGGCAGACATGCTTGTGGAAGGTCATTCCCACTGCCGAGTCTGCTGCTGTCATCGGGACTAAGAAGTGTGCAGTGTCTCCCTCAGCAGGACGGGACTGCTGGGACCACAGCCACCTGCTGGAGAAGGCACTGCCAGGCCCTCAGTCCTCCCCTCCCCTGTCCACAGACAGCACCAGCCACTAGACACACCCCTTCCATCAAGCCCAGAAGTGCTCCTTGTGACCCCAGCTCTCCTGTAGACTGCTCTGGGTCCCCTCCCCACTGGACCATGGGTCTGAGCCTCTCAGCCAGTTCTGAGTGCAGAGGCCACGGCGGCTCAGGTCCTGGTGGGTGGGGAGCCCTGTGCTCGGGCGCTGGTCTCTCCCTCCTTGCAGCCAGGGCTGTGGGTGGCAGGCACAGGGCAGCTGCTTTTGCCCGTGTTCTCCCCTTGGCCTCGTCATCCCTTCGTCCATTTGTGCCCATTCATGCCTGTGAGCGTTGGAGAGAGGGACTTAGTGGTCTCGTGTGCCTGGTACCTGGCCTGAGGGCAGGTGGCTAGTTAGGGTGTAGCCCTAATGATGGGGTGTGGGGGCAGGAGATGGGCTCAGGAAGTCGTGGGCATGCTCTGGAAGGCCAGATGCTGGGTTCTCACGTGGGGAGGCAGGCTGGCCAATGCCAGAGCCAGGGGCTGTGGGGTCCAGAAGAGGAGGGTCTTCAGTACCCTGGCAGGGCCCAGCCTTGTGCTGAGCAGGTTGTGGGGCCAGGGTGCCTGCGGCCCGGAAGGTGTGGTTTTGCGCCCTGCTGCCTTCAGTTCTCCTCCCATTTCCCAGAAGAGTCTGGTCTCATATCAGGCAACTCATTTCCCTCCACGGCAGGCACGTCCTCTTGCCACAGTCGAAAGAAGTGAAACTGTCCCATGAAACACGGTGGAACACCCCAAACACCTAGGGGGGCGGGGTCTTCCCTTGTACAGCTTCAGCAGAAACCGGAGGGCCTGTCCCTGCTTCCTTCCTGCCTCTCACCTGCGCCCAAACCCCTCCCGGGCCCAGGGTCCAGCTCTCTGGGTGGGTGTGGACTAGGGGACGTTTAGGAAGTTTCCAAGATGTGGCCAAGTTGAGAGTCACTGACCCACAGGCGTGCACGGGAGAGGGACGGCGGTCAGAGGCATGGGAGCGCAGGGCTCATGCTCCCCGTGTGCCTGGTGTAGCCCTGAGCACGGGCACACAGAGCCCTGTAAGGTGCACACTGTCACCATCCCCATCAATAGAGGGGACGACTGAGGCCTGGTGATGGCAGTTTGAGTGTGATACCACATGGATGGGAGGTGGTCTGGCCTCTCCTGCAGGCAGCAGCCACTCAGCACCCTGAAGCTGTGTAGGGTCCCAACGGGCAGCAGGGACAGCCCTAAGGAGAGGGCCACCCAGAGCTGAGCCCTGCGGGGGGGCGGGGCATTCCAGAGGGCACAGGTATGACTCTGGGCAGGATGTGGGGAGATGAGACCCAGCCGTGGCCCGGGGCAGTGGCCTTGTGCAGGGCATTCTCGGGCTCCCTGGCTGCAACCGTGAGGACTTGCCTGGTGGTGTGGGCTGAGCCCCCAGCTCAAGCTTCTCCAGTACCCCTTCCTGCTCTTTGGCACCTTCTCCCAGGCTACTGTGGTGCCCTATGAGGTCCTCACTGTCCCCACCTGTGTCCTGGCCCCTTGACTGCCCTGCCAGTCACGCCCTTTGCCCCCATGCAGTGGGGCACCACAGGGATCCTCACAGCACCCCTTGGCCACATCTCAGAGGGCTCAGCACCACCAGGACAAGCAGGGAGGGTGCAGCCTGGCAGGCACTGGCCAGGCCCAGGGGTGCAGGCACCCCCAGCACGACACCTCGCTCTCCAGCCTGGCCACCAGCCAGCAGGAGGACAGGTGGCCCGTAGAGGACAGGGCCAAGTGAACTGTGGAAACCACCACAAGTTAGGAGACCTGGGTGAGCCCCAGCCTCTGACAGAGTGTGTGACTTCAGGCAGCTCACCCTCTCCCTACTGACCCTCCATGTCAGTAGGGACTGGCAGCTGCTCTGCTCTGCACAAATACTGTTTGCTCAGAGAGCACATCCACTGGGAAGGGTGTTCAGCTGCCCCTCTTCTCCCCTGTGCCATACCCACCCACCACCCAGAAAGGCTCTGACAAGTCCTGCAATGAGAAACCCTGCTGGGCTGAACATGGTAGCCTCTTCTGCACAGAGGACTTGTCCGCCTCTTGGGTATCTCTGGAGAATGCGCCTTAGGGAAATGCTGGACCCTGGGATTGCTTGCTGGAGAGGCTGGGGTTCCACACCCGGTTCCCTGCGTCGAGGGGCTTGGGTGAGCCTGTCAACACGCCTAGAGCTGAGCAGAGGCGGCGCTGGTGTGCGAGTCGGCACCGCCACCTGGGGCGGGCATCTCGGCACTGCCATGGTGATGCTGTTATGCACAGCCCGGCAGGGGTAGGGACAGCTTCCAGCAGAAGGTGCCCCACCCTGGATGCAGTTAGGCAACGCCAGCAATGCCCGCTTGCAGGCCCGGCAAGCAGAGCAGGGGGCGTTGGGAGCCGAGTTCTGGTCCTGCTCTCGCTGCCTCCGCCCCTGCAAACCAAAGCAGCCCTTCCCCAGCAGCTGCTGGGTTCCACGTTACGTTTATAAAACATCACAGCCTTGATTTTCAAAGTGGATACTCCCAGGTGCTTTGTGACTGTGTTTCCGAGCAGGTGTCACTAGAAAGGCCGCCACCCTGTGCTTGCTGGTGACCTGGTCCCCATAGCCAGGCCTAGTGCCAGACCTGTCACATCCTACCCTGTGAGTGTCCCCCTGCCCGAGGCCCTGAGCAAGGCCATTCTGGAAAAGCCCTGTCCTCTGTCTCCAGGCACAGGTGTCCTTGTGGGTGGGGCCTGCGGGTTCATCCTGCCTCCAAGTGGGTGTTTCCATCTCGTCCTCTCAGAATCTTCCTGAGTGCATCTAGGAGGGCCAGTGGCTGGCTTTGGGGTCAGACCTGGGGACATGCTTTGTCCCAAGCTGCCTCCTTGCTGAGCTGGGCCAGGTCTCACCTCCCGGGCAGAGGGGCTCTGCAAGTGTGTGCCTCGCCACGTTCCCGCCTGTTGCAGCTACTGGAGTCTCCGTGTCCCCATGCTGGCTCTGAGGGCGTGGTCTGGCAATTCAGGGCTGGCTTCTACCTTCCCGGCACCAAGGGGAGATGCCGCTGCAGGTGCTTGTTGTCATTGTCACAGCAGGACTCAGATGTGCCAGCACCTGCCGGCTGCCTTGTCAAGCTCACAGCATCCCTGTGGGGTAGGGACAGGCTGTCCCCTCTTGCAGATACACCCAGGCCCAGGGGACTGCAGGCCTCCCCACTCTGCCACCTGCCCCCTGCTCCTCACCCTCAGCTGCTGCCGCCTCACTGAACCAGACTGTCAGGATTTTCTTTTTTTCTAAGAAAGTCGACCCAGAGCAGTTGAGGAGGATGGGAGCAAAACTCCAGCTTCCTCTCCACGGGGACGTTTGTGTGGCACTTCCCAAATTGGTGTCCTCCAAGCTACCTGTTTCCAATGCTGGGCCTGTGGACTCCACAGCAACAGTGGTGGGGCCACCACGGGCTCCTGAGCAGCGGCTGAGACGCATAGAGGCGGAAGCTGTCCCTGCCTGCAGCTGGCCCCACGCAGAGGCTGTGGCATCTTGCTGGGCCGCACTTGCTTGTCTAGGCGCACTGCAGTGTCCAGACTCCTCAGGAGGCCACACTGGGTGTCCTGACCTCTCGGCTGCCTCCACTGGCAGTGGACGTGGCTGGATGGCATCTTGAGGCCACCTTCTCCTTGGGGGCTCACACGGTCTCTCTCCTGTCCTCTAGCTGGTCAGCGAGAAGGTCGGAGGAGCTGAGGGGACCAAGCTGGACGATGACTTCAAAGAGATGGAGAAGGTAAGGGGAGGCCACTGCTCCGTGCAGGGCGGGCAGGTGAGGGGCCTGTGTACACGGTGGCCTAGGGGCTGTGAAACCACACATGCTGCCTCTCTTCACAGAAAGTGGATGTCACCAGCAAGGCGGTGACAGAAGTGCTGACTAGAACCATCGAGTACCTGCAGCCCAACCCAGGTAGGAGTGCCAGCCAGCCGCCAGGGTTCTGCCCGACTCCTCCAGCCTTTGTCAGTCAGGAACGTTGCAGCTACCAGAGCATGAAGTGGGAGTGTGTGGGCTGGCCGAACTGGAATACCCATGGGTAGGCAGGCTTCAGGCATGGCTGGATCCAGGGGTCCAGAGGCTGTCTGTGGGGTCATACCCTTTCCGCTTCAGCTGGCAGGTCAGCTCCCTCTATGATGGCTTCACTCACTTTAGATCACTCCTGCAGCATAGAAGGGCGTCCTGCCCCCAGCTGACTCCCCAGCCCATCCCCAGTACAGGGAACGCGGCCTGGGTCTTCTGGGCTGTAATGGGGGCAGGCCGCAAACCCAGTGGTGTCCACTTGTAGCCCTTGCCGGGGACAGACCCAAACGGGCCAGGGAGGGAACACAGCTCCTCAGCCCCCCGGAGGGATGAGGGCCTCTGCAGGCGCGCCCAGACCTGTCACTTGTGCATTGATAGACCAGTTGTTTGTCCCCACATGAGGGAGGGGCACCTCCTGTCACAGCCTAGTTACAGGATGAGGAGGCCCAGGGGGAGGGGTCACTCATGTAGGAACTGGTCACCCCCCTGCCCACTGTCGGTTCTCCTTCGAGGCTGAGGGGAGCCTCCTGGGGACATGCTTGCTGCAGGCTGGCCTAGGTCAGGGTCCCTGGGCCAAGGGTGCACTTTAGAAATGCTGGCGGTGCCAGCAGAGTGCAGGCCTTGCTGCCCCTTGAGTGGCCGCCATGCCCACCCTGCCTGTCCCGTCCCAGCTTCGAGGGCCAAGCTGACCATGCTCAACACCGTGTCCAAGATCCGGGGCCAGGTGAAGAGCCCCGGCTACCCGCAGCCCGAGGGCCTCCTGGGCGAGTGCATGATCCGCCACGGCAAGGAGCTGGGCGGCGAGTCCAACTTCGGTGAGTGGGGCTGGACCCTCCCCCCACTGCTCCCTGCAGGCCACGCGCCACCCCGCAGGACAGGGCAGGGGCAGTGACACCATGCAGGTCCAGGTCTGTGGCACTGTCCTGGCGTGTGCCAGGGACGCACAGTGATCCACACAGCCCTCCTGTGTGCGGGGAGGCAGCGGCTGCGGCGACAGATCAGTCCATGTCGGGGAGGTGGGGTGGGGGGTGTGGGGACCAGAGGAGCAGGGTGGTGGGTAGTGCCCCCTCCTGCAGCTCCAGAATCTTCCAGCGTGAGTGGCTGGTTTCCCCCGGCCAAGGGCAGCTGAGGCTCCTGAGAAGGCACCTCGTGCATGCAGGAGCAGGGGATCCCGTCTCCCCCACCTTCAGGCAATTCAGAGCGAACCGGTCCCTTGTCGGAACACGGGGAGAGGACAGCTTGCGTGACACCCGCCTCCGTTCAGATTTGGGGTCCTTTGTTTTGCTCTGAATGCCTGGGGGGCAGGGTTGTTTGGACGGTGGGAAGGACCTCGCTCCCGAAGGTCCCCGTGACAGCTTCCCCCATTCCTCGTCTAGGCGACGCCCTGCTGGACGCCGGGGAGTCCATGAAGCGCCTGGCGGAGGTGAAGGACTCGCTGGACATAGAGGTCAAGCAGAACTTCATCGACCCCCTGCAGAACTTGTGCGAGAAGGACCTGAAGGAGATCCAGGTACCCCTGCCCGGCGCCGGCCCAGCCACCCCGAGAGCCCTCCGTCCCGCACAGGCGGGGTGGGTCTCCTAGTGGTGCGGGGACAGGCCTCCCAGCAGCCGCTGGCGTGACCCGCGTCCCCGCCCCCCAGCACCACCTGAAGAAGCTGGAGGGCCGCCGCCTGGACTTCGACTACAAGAAGAAGCGGCAGGGCAGGATCCCCGACGAGGAGCTGCGCCAGGCCCTGGAGAAGTTCGAGGAGTCCAAGGAGGTGGCGGAGACCAGCATGCACAACCTGCTGGAGACCGATGTGCGTCGTGGGGCCCCTGCGTCCTGCCGGGGCGGGTGGGGGTGCCTGGGCGTCTCCTTGCGAGCCCGCTGCCCTACTCGGGCTTCAGCACGAGGGTCGGGGAGGGTGTGGGAGGAGAGCGCAGCTGCAGCCCCTCAGCCCGGCTGTCCCGCAGATCGAGCAGGTGAGCCAGCTCTCGGCCCTGGTGGACGCCCAGCTGGACTACCACCGCCAGGCCGTGCAGATCCTCGACGAGCTGGCCGACAAGCTCAAGCGCAGGTGAGCCCCGCCCCGGCCCTCGCTGCAGGGTCCAGGGGGAGCTGCGGTCCTCCCTCCTGCTGTGGGTCCTGGGGCCGCCGTGCGCCCCTCCAAGGCCAGCCCTGGTTCCTGCCCCAGGCTGCTGGAGTGGCCTGAGGACCAAGAGGTCAGAGCTCTGGGCCAACATCAACCTGGAGGGGGGAGGGTTTTGGCGGCTCTGCCCCAAACGCTGACCCCTGGCGGCTCCTGACCACGTTCCCATCCCCTTGCCGGCCGCGCTCCTCAGGCCTCTGAGCAGTCAGCCCGTGCCCCGAGCCTGGCACGTTGAGCACCTGCCCTCTGGGCCACCGAGAGGGCACCGGGGTTTGTGCCATCCGTTGGCAGGTGGAGGCTGTCAGCAGGAATGCCCAAGGCGAGGGGACCATGCCAGATCCAGCTGGGTTCCCCCCCGACAGGCCTTTCCCACAGGGCTGGGCTGAGTCCTCGGGCAGCAGCGTAGACGCAGGTCGGGGTACGTCCCTTGGCAGTGGCACTGGAGTGCTCAGGCCCGAGCTCGGCTCTCTCCCTTCATAGGATGCGTGACACTTCCTCACGCCCCAAGCGAGAATACAAGCCCAAGCCCCGGGAGCCCTTCGACCTCGGAGAGCCGGAGCAGTCCAACGGGGGCTTCCCCTGCGCCACAGCCCCCAAGATCACAGGTGATGGGGCCTTTCCTGGAGGCAGGAACACCAGGGGGCTGGCGGCGGGAGTGAGTCTCAGAGAGCCGGGTCAGGCCAGGGTGCGGGGGGCATCAGCCCAGCACGTGCTCATCCGGCCTCTGCATTTGTCCACAAGCAGCTTCTTCATCTTTCCGATCTTCCGACAAGCCCATCCGGACCCCCAGCAGGAGTATGCGTGAGTGTCCCCGGGACCCTGCCCCACGGCCACCCGCAGTCTGCAGTGCTGCCTTCTAGTCTGTTAAGGCCTTCCTCCTCCCCTCAGTGTGACAGGCTGTCTGTCCCAATGGTAGGGGGTGGCACAGGCAGGCCCACACAGAGCGGCAACACCCCCCGCTGCTGTGAGTGCCAGGGGCTCCGGCCTGGCTCTAGGCTCAGTGGTCATAAGGGCATCTGCCCATTCTCTGTCCTAGTGGCTTCGGGTGTCCTTGGCACCCTGCAGTGCCCACTCACAAGGCCCCTCGCCCCTCCCCCAGCACCCCTGGACCAGCCGAGCTGCAAGGCGCTGTACGACTTCGAGCCAGAGAATGACGGGGAGCTGGGCTTCCGCGAGGGCGACGTCATCACGCTGACCAACCAGATTGACGAGAACTGGTACGAGGGCATGCTGGACGGCCAGTCGGGCTTCTTCCCCCTCAGCTACGTGGAGGTGCTGGTGCCCCTGCCTCAGTGACCTGCCGGCATCCCCGCCCCGGCCGCCTGCGTTCCATGTGCCCCTGCGGGGGCTCCGGGCCCCTCGGTACTCCCTGAGCAGGGCCCGGCACCCGGGGCGGGCCCCTGTTTACACTAGCGCTTGCCCCGTGTGGGGCGGCGGCTCCCCTCCCCAGTGGGCGGCTGTCCTTCCTGCTCACACTAAGGTGCTCTTAGAAACACTAACGTTCCTGGGGCGGACCCTCCCCACGCCTCCGTCCTGCCGGCCCTGGGGCCCGGCCCCCAGCCCGTTGCTGGCGATGGGCCTCGGCCCCCACGCTGGGGCGCCCCCAGCCTTGCACACATGCCACCGAGCCCCCAGGGTGAGGGCCTCGCCACTCCCCCAGCCAGCTGTCAGCTTGCAGCCGGGGACCCCAGGGGCTGCCCTGCCCGAGGACACGACCTCTCCCAGGAGCCTCGGTGCCCCACCCGCCCCCACAAGGCCGAGTACCTTTCCAGCTTTTCAGCTGCCGCAGCCAGGCACAGGGAGGTGTGTCTCACCCCCTGGCACGAGATGTCACCACCAGCTGCACCCACACGCCCCCAACACCTCTTACACAGGACCACAGGGACCCCAACCTTAGACTCAAGCACAAAGGCCCTGCTGAGAGAACGTTCCTGGGCCCCTTCCTGAGCCTGCGCCCTGCGGGAAGCGTCCCGGCCATCTCCTCTCCACCAAGGCACAGCCCTGGGTCCCCGAGACCCTGCCCAGCCCTGGCACCCGCTCCCCTGCGGCCTAACCCGAGAACTGGCTAAACTAGGGTCGGGGGCCTCTGGGCTGGCCGTGTTCACATTCCCCCCCGTGTCCCCTCCTCACCATTACTTCGGGGGACGCAGATGCCTCAGCTGAGATGACCAGTATAGCCTTGGCCATGGTCTGAGGCGATCCAAATGTACTCCTGATTTTTTAAGAAAAGAAGTATTAAATGTCTCTTTCTACAGCCCTGGCCTCATCTTGGTGCAGGGTGGGCCTCTCCCCGGACACCCTCGTGCCAGCCACCTGGGGTCAGCCTGGTGGCATCCCACCTCGAGGCCCGTACAGGAAACCTGGTCACCAGTGTGAACGGTTTGGCCCTGAGAGGTGGCACCAAGCTGGGGGAGCCCGCCCTGTCTGCTGTCCCCGGGCTACAGGTCAGGCCCAAGGCCACACCCAGTGGGGGCAGCAGGTGGCCCCTGTACCTGTGGGGCAGGAGCCCTGCCACAGAATCGAGGAAGCAGGGGCGACTGTCACCCTACCCAGGGAGACGAGCTCACCAGCGGGTTGCTGCTTTCGTTCCTTTATTATCGGAGCCTCCACTAAGTCACTTGGTGAGACAGACAGCGAACCCAGAACGGCTACCCGGAGCCGCCGGGGCCCTCAGCTGCCCTGCTTGAGGGCGCCGTACACCTGCTCCAGCACGTGGCACAGACCCTGGTCCTTGGGCGTCCTGCTGGCCAAGGAGATCTGAAATGAGAGCAGGTGCCTCTGGGCAGCAGGCCCGGGCCCGGGCAGTGGTCCTGGCGTGGCCTGCTCACCGAGAGGGGCGTTGCGGGACTGGCTGGCTCCTGGCGGAAGGCCGGGTGCTCTGAGTGGAGGGCGTGGGGCTTATCTGCACATTCCAGATGCCACCTCCCTGCCTGGGTCTCAGTCTCCCACGGGCGCGCTGGGGCCTTGGGACTCAGCGGTCCCCAGCCCAGCCAAAGTGTGAACAAAGAGAGCCAGCACAGGAAAGGGTTCTATGCCCGGTGGAGTAGTGTTTTCTGAGGATGACTGTCACGCAGGAAATTTAAAAGGCACACTCAGAAGGCAGCCAAGCCCTTACGTAAACGTGCCCAACCGCGGGCCGGTCAGCTGCAGGGGCAGCAGTTCACGGGACCGCTGCTCTGGCTCTGTTCGGTCCCGCCCTGCCGGGACACTGTCTCTCAGGGTGCCCTAGGCGTGGCCCCTTGGGACAAGAGCCTCACCTTGAGCTTGTCGAGGTAGGTGTGCTCCTGGTCCCAGGGCTCCTGGAACCTCACCAGGTCAGGGGCGCCCTTGTAGAACTCCACCAGCAGCATCTGCAGGACAGGGCAGACGGGGGACATGTGACCAAAGTCACCAACAAGTAAATGACAGGAGAACATGAGCAAGCGCAGCAGGAGGGCTGCCTTGTCTAAGTCCAGGAGGGCTCCCTGGAGGGGGAGGCAGCAGCACAGCCCACCTAGACCCACACTCCCTGGACACAGTTCTCTGCCCAGGCCGGACAGGGCCCCTGGTCTAGCCTCGTCCTGAGCAACACCCGTGAGCCACAGGTTCAGTGAGCTAGTTCAGCTTTCTTAAGAGCACGTTGAATACACAGGTATTAGGAATATGCCCATCCAGGCACCGACAGTCCCCTGGAACTCCTCCCCTCAGCATCCGTGGCAAGTGCGGAGGCATGACGACGGGGACAGGGTCGGGGACTGTATCCTGAGAGCCAGGGAAGAGGAGCCGACAGGCCCAGCTGGGCGTCTGCAGCACGCCCCGCCCGGGGTGAGCTCACCATCTCGTGGAGGATGTCGTTAGTCAGGAAGCTGTCCTGGACGTAGGCCATCTCCACGTCCATGGGGATGCCGTAGTCACTCGGCCTTTGCTGGCAGGGACACGGGCTGGTCAGAGGCCCCCAGGCCCCCAGCCCATGGCAGGAGGGGACGGGCTGGGGGGATCGCCCTGGCTGGGAATCGGAGAACCCACAGTCCGGGCCCGACTCCGTCTGGATCTGGTTCAGGGCCACGTGGGGCCTTAGAACCCCTCGGTGCAACTAGGGGGGCAGGGGCGGCCTCCCCGCAGAGGCCCCAAGATTTCTTCCCAAAGCTGACCTAGCCCTAACCCTAACCCAGGGGGGACACGGGAGGGAGCCGTCCTGGTACCTGGCAGGTATGCGCAGAGGCCCTGCACCCAGCCCGCCTGGACAGGTCCCAGAGCCTGGGTCCCCTGCCTCGGCACACCTGCCCAGAGCCCCCTCCACCACCGCCACACCTCGCGGGCCCCGGGCACCCTGCCTACCTCGGGAGGAGGCATCACCCAGAAGGGCGCGATCTTGGACTCGGGGCCCGGGTTGCCGGAGTAGTAAGGGGCTGGCGGGGGAGAAGGAGAGGGGGCTGGGCCTGGGGGCTCCGCTGGCTCAGCACCCCCCTTCCCCGCCCACCTGCCGCAGCCCCACGCGGGCCTCACAGCACAGCAGCGCGAGGCAGGGCTGGAAGCCGTTGCTGGAGCCCTGCAGCCGCAGCTGGTAGTCCATCTGCGCGTCGATGTCCTGCAGCGAGGGCAGCGCCGGGCCGTGCGGGTGGCTGTGGTACCAGCCGACCAGGGACAGGCCTCGCAGGAGCAGGCTCTGGTAGATCTGGGGACAGAGGCACGGCTGGGGGGCGCTGGGGGCCTGCGCAGCCCCGGTGGACTCACACAGCCAAGCCTTAGGGGGCACCCGCTGCATGCCTGGCCTGGGGACACTGGTGCACAGCAGTGACCAGGACAGACCCTGCCCCGCTGTCACCCGGTACGGTGCCAGGTGGAGAGCCACCCGCATACGGCGGGATGCGGCCATGAAGCCGCGCCCTGCCACTGAGCAAGGGCAGGGACGTCACGCCCACACTGCCGCATCCCGGCTCGTGGGCGAGGCTGGCACACACTAGGGGCTCAGCAAATAGCCGGACTGTCATGAGTGTGAGCAGGAGGGGACATTCCTGGGTGTCCTGAGCACGTGGAGGCAAAGGATGGAGAGGTGGACAGGCAGATGCGCGAATCGACACCCACTTGCCCGTCCCCCAGGGATGCTGTGACGGCGTTGCTGAGCGCAGCACCAGGCTCGAGCCACGCACCACTGCAAAACCACAAGTGAGAATGGCGGCTGGCACGTGTCGCGCCTTCGCTAGGTGCCAGGCGTGGCGCTGAGCTTCGTTTAAGCCTCCAATTTTACCGAGGAGGAATCGGAGGTGCTGAGAGGCGGGAATGGCGCAGACAGAGCTCTGGGGCTGGGCGACCCAAACGCAGAGCCCTTAACGCTTAACCCTGGGGTCCCAGGCATGGGGACAGGCACTCGCACTCACCCCCACACCTGCTGGGCGCTGGCACCGTGCCGGCAGCCAGGACGGCTGTGTCCCTCCCCAGCCCTCCCCAGAAAGCCACCTCCCAGGCAGCCCCTCACCTCCTCCTCAATGGCGGCCGCGGTGTCCGCGTCCCCGAGCCGGCTGCGACAGGGGAAGGCTCGCAGCACAGTGAGCACTGCGGGGAGAAGCGGCCATGGGCCCTGGCCCCAAACGCCCCCCTGCCCACCCGGCCCAGATACCCACTCTGGCTGTTGATGTCCCAGCGGCCCCCCAGGTAACCCACGACCTCACTCCGCGTCAGGTGACTGTGGAAGTCCTGGGGAGAGGAGGGACGTCGGGAGAGGGCTCAGGCTGCGCCTCTACCGTGACGCAGACAAGTCCTCCCTCTCATGCAGCTGGCATCCTGGGGACCTCCCCACCCCCTTCCCCGGCACCCCCGCGCCCCCAGCCGGGGCGGGGCCTGGCCACGCACCAGCAGGAACAGCACGTTGCTGGAGACCGCCACGTTGAACGGCTGGAACTTGTTGATGGCCGCGAAGGACGTTACTTCCACCAGGGTGTGGGGGTTCCTGTAGGAGCCAGGAGGGTCCCGCAGCTCAGGAACCCCGTCAACCTGGCTTCCCCAACCCGGTGTGCTGGGGCGGGGGCGCATCTGACCTGGCGGAGTCGCGACTGCCCAGCATGCAGTAGCGGACCGGCACGCGGAGTTTGTTTTCCACCCGCTTCCCCGAGGGCACGGCCTCTGCGGTGGGCATGGGACAGGGAAAAGGGCAGCGTCAGTCCCTCCGCGCCCAAACCAGAAGGCAAAGCACAGGCAGCCTTCGAAATCAGGTGGCCAGCGAACAACTGGGACCGATGAGGTTGGAAACAAGATTAGATGGGCACTCAGGAAACCACGTCGAGGGCCAACAGAGTCAGGCAGCGGGGCCAGGGCGTGCATGCTTTAGGAATCCAGCAACGGGACGAGAAATCCCGTGGAGAAGCAAGAAATCAGGCGGCACCTAAAAAACAGCAGTGCCACCGAGAAACCCTGCGCCGGGGCTTGCGGAGTTAGGCGGCGGGGCTGGCAAGGCAGCCAGGCCAGATAAAGGCCCCACCTCTCCCCAGCCTCCTCCCCGTCCCCCCTGCCTCCCCATCCCCACGCCTGTCACCTGGGTGGGCAGGTTCCAACGGGCCCTTCCCAGGTGGCCTCCGGCTCTTGTCCTCCGCCGAGACCCCCGCCAGAACCTCCTCTTCATCCTCCTCCATCAGCAGCTCCTCCTCCTCCCCTTCGCTGGCCGGGCTCTGGAGGGGCAGGGGTGAGGGACAGCCACGGGACCCCAGCTGGGTGCCCCCACCCTCCTGACGGAGCCCCACCGCGGACCTGGGGCCTAAGCCTTAGGTGCCATTGCCCCAGGTGGCCACTAGAGGGAGGGCGAGAGCAGAGGGTCCTGGCTCTGCGCTGCTCCCTGAGCGCCCTCCTGTGGCCAGTCGTCAGGTTCGAATCCCGCCTCTGCCTCTTAGAAGCTGTGTGACCTCAGGCAAGCGCCCTAAGCTCTCTGAGCTCTATTCTCATCTATGGACCGACCAGTGACCTCCATTCCCGCAGGGGTGGCCTCAAGGATGAAATAATACAATGCATGCTCCATTCCTTGAGCAAGCGAGCACTTTACAGGGATTAATTTAACTTCTTTTAATAACCTCCCCTCCCGCTTTGTCCTCAACTGCCCTTGCAGGGGGTGACCTCTCCGGGTCACATCTCAGTCCCTGTCCTCACCCTCTCAGCAGCGTCCGATCAGGCTGATCCTCCCTCCTCCTGGGGACACGGCCCTGGCCCGGCTGGCTTCCCGCCTAGCTCTCTGGGAGGCCCCTCGGCCTCCCGATCCCTGTCGCTGGTCCAGCGTCCTTGGCCGCCTCCTTCCTCCGCCCACACCCCTCCTGGGCAGCCGTGTCCATTCCTGGGGCTCCAAACCCCGGGGATGCCCGGAACTGTCCCCAGCCCAGGGCCTCATCCGGTTCCAGACTTGGGGCCCAGCTGCCCTTGATGTCTCCAAACGGGTGTCACACGCTGGGCCCCACCACACCCCAAATCTGCTCTTCCCATGTCCCCCCACTCTGGCTCCAGGCGCCTCCATCTTGCTCAAGACCCCCCAATCTCTTCACTCCAACATGTAACCCATCAGCAAATCCTGACAGATCCACATTCAAAGATGCCTGGAACCTGGGCCCGTTTCTTCCCGGCTCAGTGCCACACCTGGACCAGTACCCTCCCCCACCCACCCTGGTCCCTGCTCCCGAGCCCTGTCCTCCCCGCAGCAGCCATTAGAGCACCTGTGAGCACCTGGGTCAGGGCCAGTCCCTCCTCCACCCACAGCCCTCTGTGGCTCCCACCTCCCCAGTGGGGGGAAGCCCAAGTCCTCCCTGCTACCCACCAGGCCCTGCACAACCTGCCCTGTCCCCTCTCTCCCCTCCTCCCCAGCCACACGAGCCGCCTCGCTGTACAGGCCAGGCGCCGTCCTGCCCCAGGGCCTTTGCACGGGCCGTTTTCCAAATATCCTCATAGCTCTCTCCCTCCCCTCCTTCAGTCCTCTGCTCTGATGTCACCTTCTCAGTGAGGTCTTCCCTTCCCTGGCCACCACCCTCAACTCCCACTCCCTTCCCAGTTCATGTCTTCTGATATACTACAAAACATATTTATTATGTTTTTGTCTTTTTTCCACAAGGACAGAGATTTTTCACTTTTTTCTCTCTGCTTTATAGCCGGTGCCTAAAACAGGGCCTTGCACACGTCAGCACTTACTGAATACTTGCTCAATGAAGAGTTGTACGTGTTTAGGCCATAGTATCCAGTTAATCAAATGCTAATCTAGGCATTGCCATGAAGCAAGTGGTAAACATGAGTCACATCTACAGTAAGTTGACTTTCAGTAAGTAGATTACTCTTGATGATAAGGGTGGACCTCATCTAATCAGTCAAACACCTTAAGCACAAAAACTGAGTTTTCCTATTCCATCCCTCTAGAAACCACTTCCCTTCATCTTCCTCTGACAAACTCCTACTCATCCCTCAAAGCCCCAGCTCCAATGTCCCCTCTCCGTGGCCCAGCCCTGGAAGAGCTGTGTCCAGCTGGGAAACCCCTTTATCCAACAGTGGGTTGTGACAGCTTCCTGCAGGAGGCTGGAGGACGTACCTCATCAGCAGCAGCCGTGGGCATGTGGAGCTGGTGCCGCCGCAGCCAGACAGCCTTGTACTTGTCCAGTTTCTGGCCCTTGTACTTGACAGAGGCCCAGCCGCAGCCCGACTTCTTGGCGGGGTTCACGAGCTTCTTGCAGTGGGTGGCCCAGGCGCTGGGTGAGTTGAAGACCTGGCCGGTTTCCTGCCACACGATCCTCCCATCTGGCTGTAGGTCGCCCATGAACTTCTTGCCCTGTGGCAGTGGTGGGCTGGCTGGACCCCAGACCTGGCACCCACCAAGACCTCTCTTCCCGGAAGTCCCTCCAGACCCGACGCTCCCTGAGGCTTGGCACCAACATGCCACCACACCATCCCTTCCAGAAAAGCCCATCCCAGGCCAGCTTCTCGCACACCTGCCCAGCCTGCTCTGAAGCTACCTGGCACCTGTCTGCACTCCCCTTACCCCGCTAGACTGTGAGTCCCCTAAGGGTGGGGACAGGGTCTGCCCAGATTACAGCCCTGTGTCCAACACTCAGCAGGTGCACGACTCACAAACTGCTCGGGTCACAAATTGAACAATAAGGACGGTAATGGCAGTGACAGCAAACATACCGAGTAGCAGGCACCCCGCAGAGTGCTTTATGCATTTAATCCTCCCGTGGGAGGAAAATACTCCATTTTCCACAAGGGGAGGTTCAGCGAGGTCACACAGCCAGGAAGGCCGCTGACCCTGTGCAGGTGACAGCACCACTCTGGGCCTCAGTTTCCCCTTTGTGGAATGGGGGCGTCAGGTGAACTACGTCCTCCGGCCCAGAAGGGGTCGTCCCCGCTCTGGATGCTCCGTACCTCAGTTTCCCCTCCCCACCCCGGAGCTCCTCTTGCAGCAAGGGAGCGCTGGGTCTCAGTTTACCCTTCTTAGCCTGAGCCGGGTGGGGGGCAGGACGGGGCGCTCACCAGGTAGTAGATGGACAGCACCCCGGCGCCCGGCTCCAGCAGCGCGTCCTTGAGGAGCACCCGCAGCGTGACCGCGCGCCGGGTGAGCGCGCTCCCAGGCCCGCCGCAGCCCGCCGCCCCGCGCCCCCGCCGCCGCCGCCGCCGCCGCTGCGCCCGCCGCCCGCGCCCGCCGGCGCTCGGTCCTCGGCCTCCGCCTCGTCCTCGTCCTCCTCGGCGCCTCCTCGCCCGCGCCGCCCGCCGGGACAGCGGCTCCGGAGCTGCGGCGGCGACAGGCTGCAGCGCGGCCCCGGCCCGCCATCCGCCCCGCGCCCCGCCGCCGCCGCCCGCGCCGCGCCCCGCCCCGCGGACGCCTCACAGCCATGGCCGCGCCGCCCGCGCCCCGCGCGCCGCCGGCGTTTCTGCGCGGCGCACAACGCGGCCCCGCCCCGAGCGCGGGAGGGTGCCCGGCCATTGGTGGGCCGGTGGGCAGCGCCGCCCTCTGGGGCGAGCGGCGACACTGAGACCTCGGGCTGCCCCACGCGGGGAGGGACGCTGGGAACTCAGCCCTCAGGACCGTCCGGGAAACTGAGGCCCGGGGCCGCCCTCCGCGGGACGGGTGTGGTGACCAGGAGCTCACTGGTACAACCGAGGCTCACTTTCCAGGGACCAGGGGCTGCACCTGCGGCCACCACCTGTTAGGTTGAAGACTGGGGCTGGGGGACGCCAGGGGCTCAGCCTGCTGGAATGAGCGGGGAAACTGAGTCCCGAGGCCGCTCTCCATGGGAGGAGGGTGGTGACTGGCAGCTCATTGGTACGAGCGAGGAAACCGAGGCCTCGCTTTCGAGGGGCCAGTAGCCGCACCTGGGGCCACCACCTGTTAGGTTGAAGCCTGGGGGCGGGGAAACTGAGGCCCGAGGTCCGCGGCCACCGCTCTTGAGGGGCTCAGAGGCCTAGGCCGTTGGGACCGGGGTAGAGACCGAGGTCCGGGGCACGCTGCAGGGTGCAATGGGGAACAGCCCCGCGCACACGAAGGCTGGTCCGAAGTGCCCAAGCCGGCCAGTCTCTAAAGGGTTAACGTCCACTCTGCCCGGCGGCGGGCGGCTGATTCTGCGATTGGACCAGAGCGGAGACCGCCAGCCAATTATAGCAGGACCGTTTATTTACCTTCAACCAATCGGCAGCAGCTGCTATATTCCCGCCTCATCCAATCAATAGTAAACGGCTGATTCAGCTCCGCCCGGAGTCAGCCAATGGGTAGCCGTTTCCATATGACCAATCAGGAGGAGGCGTCGGGTCTCATGTATCCAATCAGTTGCAGGGTCTGGTCCACAGACAGCAAATCAGCTCTCGACTTAGAAACCGTCCCGTTGGTCTAGTCCCGCCCCCCGCGCAGCGCAGAGCGGGGCCAGCAGGGGGCGGAGCCCGACGGGTGGAGCGTGTGCGCCGCGCCGCCCTGGCCTTTGTCCCCTGCCTGTCCTGGGACCTTCGTCCCCAGGGAGTCCCCCAACTCCCGGCAGGGCTGAAAGCCCGGGGATGGGGACTTCCCAAACCCGGAGGGCGGCATGCACTGGGGTCACACGCGGGTGGCTTGGGCTGGCCCCAGCCTGGGACGGGGGCCTGGATGGGCGCGCGGGGTGGGGGGAGGTAAGAGCTGGGTACATGGGAATCATTACCAAGCAAGATAACTGCAGACCACATCCCTCATGAATACATACATGCAAAAAAAAAAAAATCCTTTCCAAAATATTAGGAACTAGAATTCAGCAATATATAAAATTAATTATACACCATGACAAGTGAGGTCTATTCCAGGGACAAGAGCTGGTTCTGCATTCAAACATCAATCCACGTCGTCCTCCGTGTTTGACAGGCAGAATATTGTTCCCCTAAAGATGTCCACGTCCTAATCCTCAGAATCTGAGAATATGTTAGGGTACATGGCAAAGGGACTTAAGGCCGCAGATGGGATGAAAGTTGCTAGTCAGTTGACATTTAAATAGGGAGATTATCCCGGTGGGCCCTATGCAATCACACAGGTCCATAAAAGTAAAAAGGAGGGAGGAGTGAATAAAGGAGAAAGGGTGATGTGAGCTGAGAACTTGTGACTGAAAAACCCACTGCTATTGGCTTCGTAGATGAAGAAAGAAGATCCTGGCTCAGAGGAGGTGGTTTTCCCCTTAGAGCCTCCAGAAAGGGACACAGCACTGCCGACACCTTGATTTTGTCCCCCTGAGATCCTTGTAGGACTTCTAACCTGCAGGACAGTAAGATAATACATTGATGTTGTTTTAAGCCTCTGAGTTTGTGACAACTTATTACAGCATCCGTAGAAAACTAATACACAGGCTAAAGGAGAACAATGACACCATCCTAACAACTGATGGGGAAGGAGCAGTTGACAAAATTCAACACTCATTCATGAGGAACTCTCTTAGCAAGCTAAGAATGGAAGGAAAGTACCTCCACTTGCTAACGCATAGCCACAAACCTTTATTTTGTTACATGGATATATTGCAAAACTAAACTAAACTAGACACCTTCAGCTAACATCTAGATGTTTTCTCCCTATGATTGGGGACATGGCAAGACTGTCCATAATTACTACTCTTATTCAACATTGCACTGCCGTGTAATCCCAGCACTTTGGGAGGCTGAGGTAAGAGGATTGCTTGAGGCTAGGAGTTCAGGACCAGCCTGGGCAACATAGTGAGACCCCATCTCTATAAAAAATATAAAAATTAGCTAGGCATGGTGGTGACACTTGACTATAGTCCCGGCTACTCGGGAGGCTGAGGTAGGAGGATCGCTTGAGCCCAGGAGTCTGAGGTTGCTGTGAGCTAGGCTGATGCCACGGCACTCACTCTAGCCTGGGCAACAGAGTGAGACTCTGTCTCAAAAATATACAATGCTGTTTACAGTTGGTTCAGGTAGAATGAGGTCTGCAGGTAGAATGAGAATATTCTCCCACCCGGGCAGCCTGCCAGGCACTTAGGGCACTCCCAGTGCCTTCTCCAGTGGCGCCCCTCGCCACTCAGGTGCGACACTCTCTCGTGACAAAGGGGACTGGACGGGGATTTCCCTAGGATCCTTGACCTGCCTGGCCCAGCCCCCGCCCAGCGCTGGCAGAGGAGGGAGGGGACGGGCTGACAGAGGAGAGGAAATTCCCTTGGAACCTGTTTCTCAGCCTCCTGGGCTTCCTGGCCCAGCTAGGGAGCTCGCTGGAATTAGAGGCCCGGCTGAAGACCCAGGCCGCCATGGCCTCGGCCCTGCACCCACCCAGGGCCCCCAAGCCCAGGAGTGCCCTGCGCTCACACTACTATGAGAGCTTTCTGGAGAAGAAGGGGCCCTGTGACCCGGTAAGGAGGAAGGCAGGGCAGGGAGCCGGGTACTGCTGGGCCACCCCTGGCAGGTGTGGTGCCGCTCTGAGCCTCAGTTTACCCACTGGCTAAGGGGGCAGGGTGGGTGCTGGGTGGGGCAGGGCACGTGCTGGGGCTGGAGAGGGTTCTGGCCGTCCGTGGGTCTGTCTCTGTCTGTGTCTCTGTGTCTCTCTCTGCCTTTCTCTAACTTGATAGCTTTCTCTTTCTCTTTTTCCCTGTGTCTCTCTCTGTCTCAGTCTTTCTCTCTGTCCCCGTCTCCCTCGGCTCCCTTTCCTTCTCTTGGATACAAACAAAGTCGGGGACTTCCTCCAGGAAATGCAGAGCCAGCTGGCTCCCTTCCCTCCTCCCCCTCCCAGTCCAGAAGGAACTCCGGGAACCTAAGCAGCAGGGTTCAGGGCTAGGACAGTGCCAGGTGGGGACATTAAGAGCTGGGGGGTGGGGGCAGGGGCAGGACCAGATACTGACCATGGGACCCACACGTGTGTGTCTGTGTGTGTCCCAGCCTGAGGCCCCCTCTCTCTCCCCACATCCCATATCCTCTTTCTTTCTTTCTTCTTTCTTTTTTTTCTTTCTTCTTTCTTTCTTTTTCTTTCTTTCTTTCTTTCTTTCTTTCTTTCTTTCTTTCTTTTCTTTCTTTTCTCTCTCTCTCTCTCTCTCTCTCTCTCTCTTTCTTTCTTTCTTTCTTTTTTTTTCGACATGGTCTTGCTCTGTCGCCCAGGCTGGAGTGCAGTGGTGTCATCGTATCTCACTGCAGCCTCCAACTCCTGGCCTCAATAGATCTTCTTGCCTCAGCCTCCCAAATAGCTGGGGCTACAGGTGCCGACACCATGGCCTGGATAATTTTTTATTGTTTTGTAAAGATGGGATCTCGCTCTTGCTCAGGGTGGTCTCAAACTCCTAGCCTCAAGTGATCCTCCTGCCTCGGCCTCCCAGAGTGCTGGGATTACAGGCCTGAGCCACTCGTCCACATATTCATTGTCTGATACAGCCCAAACCACCCACTCCCTGCCCACCTCCCTGCCTCTGCTGCTAGGGTTCCCCCCACCTGGAGCGGCTGTTCCCGCTGCCTCCGCGTGTCCAAATCCTCCCCAACCGACTGCTGCTCTGGAGGCAGCGGACCATGGTTGTTCAGAAAGATCATGGGCCCCAGAGTTCAGGAGATCCAGGTTCAAATCCCCGCTGCACCTCCCAGGCCTTAAGCAAGTGAGTCTCCACCTTTGAGCCTCAGTTTCTCTCCTGCGAAATAGGTAAGTTAGGGCTGCAGTCACACTTAGCACATTGGGGCCTGGTCACTGCAGGCCCCGGTGTTGTACATGTTTGAACCTGCCTCATTCTCACAAGAGCCATAGGAGGTGCTTGAAGGAGGTGCCATAAGCCAGGCGCAGTCGCTCCCGCCTGTAATCCCAGTACTCTGGGAGGCTGAGATGGGAGGTTCACTTGAGGTTAGGAGTTCAAGACCAGCCTGACCAAGAGCAAGAATCCATCTCTAAATAATAATATAATATATAATTATAATGAAATAATAATAATAATAAAGGTGGTACCATTATTATCACCATTTTATAACTGGAGAAATGGAGCCACAGGGAGCTCCAATAAGTTGCCCAGCAGCACAGAGCTGGTGCATGATGAAGCAGGTCTGATCATACTGAGTTTAATCATGTATTGCTCCGTTCCCAGGGCCTGGAGAGAGCTGGCACATAGTAGTCCCTCAGCAAATTTAGTGGCATGCATGTATGTAGTGTGGGTATTGATGGATGAACAGATGGATGGGTGGATGGGTACGTGGATGGATGGATGGATGAATTATGGATGGGTGGGTGGATGGATGGATGGATAGATGGATGGAAGGATGGATGAATTATGGATGGGTGGATGGATGGATGGATGAATTATGGATGGTTGGATGGATGGATGGGTGGATGGATGGATGAATTATGGATGGGTGGATGGATGGATGGATGGGTGGATGGATGGATGGATAGATGGATGGATGGGTGGATGGATGGATGGATGGATGGAAGGATGGATGAATTATGGACGGGTGGATGGATGGGTGGGTGGATGGATGGGTGGATGGATGGATGAATTATAGACAGGTGGATAGATGGGTGGATAGATGGATGGGTGGATGGATGGGTGAAAGGATGGATGGATAGATAAGTAGATGGATAGATGAATGGACAGAACACCATAAAGCCAATTACTTCCAATTACTCCTGGAGCCCCCACCTCCATAGACTGGGGGGCTGCTGTAGGTCCCCCATCCCATCACGGTTCCCTTTGGTCCTTTCTCAGAGGAAAACAGATACCTAGAAGCCAGGCCATGGGTGGGGAAGGCCTCTCTACAAAGGCAACACTTGACCAGAAGCCCAAAGCAGGTGGTGAAGGGAGGAGAGTGAAGATCTGGGAGAAGAGTGGGGCAGAATGGAGCAGCCAGTGCGAAGGCCCTGAGGCAGGAGCGAGCAGAGTGGAGGTGCCAGCTTTGCCACCTCACCTCCTCTCTCTCCACCTCTGGCCCCCAGGATTACAAGAAGTTCTGGGCAGGACTCCAGGGCCTTACCATCTATTTCTACAATAGCAATCGGGACTTCCAGGTAAGCAGGGGGGTGGAGGCTCGGGAGCTGGCCCACCCTTGAGCCCAGGGACCAAGCAGAGATTGGCGTGGCCAGGGCAGTGGCTACATCATCCAGGGGGCCACAGGGGCCATGGGGCTGGTGCTCAGACCCCCCATTTCTGCACCCCAGCACGTGGAGAAGTTAAACCTGGGCACATTTGTGAAGCTCAGGGACGAGGCTCCCAGAGGGAGCTCATGGGACCCTGGAACCTACTTCAGCCTGGTCCTCTCCAACCAGGAGATCAAGTTCAAGGTAGGTCCTTTGCTGGGGCTGGTGGGAGATGCTCCCTCCGGGTCGTGCTCACCATTAGCACACACGAACGTGGAGTCACACGGACTCTTCCACTGGGTTGGTGACATTGGGCAGGTCACTCAACCTCTCCGGGCCTCAGATATCTGTGAGAGCTCATCAGGAGAGGCACAGCCCGTGCAAAGGCCCTGGGGCAGGACTGTGCATGGCATGTTGGAGGCACAGCAAGGAGGCCCGTGTGGCTGGAGCAGAGTGAGGAGGGGGAGTCAGGGAGGAGGGGAGGGGGGGACAGGGCAGGTGGGGAGGACTTTGGCTTTGACCCTAAGGGAGGTGGGAGCTATGGGAGAGGGGTTTCGAGCATCAGAGGTATGTGATCTGATTTGTCTTTCAAATGTGAATATAATCACATTAAAAATAATAACATCCCACATGACTGCAGACTCACTGGACCTTCATAACAGCCCTTGGAAACAGGCACTATAACTCCTCAGCCCCATTTCACAGATGAGTAGACTGAGCCTCATGGACACAGACTCGTTCTTTTTTTTTTTTTTTTTTTTGAGACAGAGTATCACTCTGTTGCCTGGGCTAGAGTGCAGTGGCGTCAGCCTAGCTCACAGTAACCGCCCGGCTAATTTTTTCTTTCTTTTTTTTTTTTTTTTTATAACATGTTAAGAGCTGTATAATTTTTTCTATATATGTTTAGTTGTCCAATTAATTTCTTTATTTAGTAGAAATGGGGTCTAAGAGCTGTATAATGTTTTCTATATATGTTTAGTTGTCCAATTAATTTCTTTATTTAGTAGAAATGGGGTCTCGCTGTTGCTCAGGCTGGTTTCGAACTCCTCACCTTGAGCGATCCTCCCGCCTGGGCCTCCCAGAGTGCTGGGATTACAGGCCTGGCCACTGCGCCGGGCCCAGACTCCCTCTTTCTTTCCCTCCCTAGGCAGAGAGCCTGGAGTCTCGGGAGATGTGGAAAGGCTTCATCTTCACGGTGGTGGAGGTAGGAAGAGTCGCCCGCCCTGCCAGTCCCCAGCAGGCCTCCCCAGACATCCTTTGTGTCCCTCCTGCATTCCCGAAAGAGCCTCTGCAGCATCGCACGGGGTCTCACACTGCTGGCCCGCGGGCCACCTGCAACCGAAACATCTTCTGTCTCGCCACAGAGTGCTAAAACTTTTTAAACTAGCTGCCATCATTTACAAACCAGGCATTTTAGTGCACACTCCTGACTTCTCTGTCGTCACTGGTTTCCTGCTGGCCCCTGCAGGGCACTGAGTTCGAGACCCCATCCGCGACATCCCTTCCGCCATCGCCAAACTCCTCTTTTTCCAATTTCTGGGGTTTCTCAAGGCCTTCTTTGCCCCTGAGGAGCCCTTGGCGGCTCCCCGCACTGCGGCCTCAGTTTGCTGCTCTGCGACATGGGCACAGCCGCTGCTGTCTGTCCCTCCGCCCCTCAGCGCCGCGTCCCCGCCAATCTGACCCTGCTGCCCGGACATCTGTACATGATGGCTGAGGCCCTGGCCAAAGAAGAGGCGCGCCGCGCGCTCGAGACGCCCTCGTGAGTGCACCCGCCCGAGGGCAGCAGGGGGACAGGCTGAGGGTGGGCGGTGAGCTGGGTCTCCTGAGCCGCGTCTCGGGGTGAGTGCTGGGCGGGATTAGGGCTGGGCCGGACGGGTCTAAGTCCGGGCTCGGTGCCCAGAGGGTGTGGCCGGGTCTCCGGGGGCGGGGTTATGTGGGGAGGCGTGGCCGGGTCTCCGGGGGCGGGGTTATGTGGGGAGGCGTGGCCGGGTCTCCGGGGGGCGGGGTTATGTGGGGAGGCGTGGCCGGGTCTCTGGGGGTGGGGTTATGTGGGGAGGCGTGGCCGGGTCTCTGGGGGCGGGGTTATGTGGGGAGGCGTGCTTGGGTTCTCTGGGGCGGGGGTTATGGGGGCGGGTGGGCCGGTCCTCAGGGGCGGGGTTAAGTGCGGGAGGTGTGGCTGGGTCTCCGGGGGCGGGGTTAAGTGCGGGAGGTGTGGCTGGGTCTCCGGGGGCGGGGTTATGTGCGGGGGGCGTGGCTGGATCTCCGGGGGCGGGGTTAAGTGCGGGGGTCGGGGCCTTGGCCTGGGGGCAGAGCATGTCTTCCGGGGGCAGTTCTGGATACCTAGGGAGCGGGGCAGGGCTTCCAGGGGAAGGTCCAGGTAGGAGTTTGGAAGGCGGGACAGGTTCTCCAGCGGAGAGTCCTGGGGGACGGGGCTGGGTCTCCGGGGACCGGAATAGGTGCCTAGAAGGCGGGGCTCGGACTCCGGGGTCGGCCCCGGGAGCAGGGCAGGGTCCCCCAGGCCTGGGCCTAGGGCATGGGGTCGGGTGGGGGTCGGGGTCGGGGTGTGGTTACGTGCGGAAGTGCGAGGCTGGGTCTCCGGGGTGGGGCCTGTCCCAGGTGCTTCCTGAAGGTGAGCCGGCTGGAGGCACAGCTGCTCCTGGAGCGCAACCCCGAGAACGGAAACCTGCTGCTGCGGCCCAGCGGGGACGGCACCGACGGGGTGTCGGTGACTACACGACAGAGGCTCAACGGGTGCGCATGCGCGGCTGGGGAGCCGGTGTGGGAAGGCCGCCTGGGGGCGTGGGCAGAGGCAGGGGCGGGGCTGGCTCCTTGAGCGGGTGGGGTCCTGGAGGCGGGACCAGAGCTCCTGGGTCGGGGATCCCGAGGCTGGCCCCGCCCCAGGGATGGGTTAAGGCCTGGGGGCGAAAGTAGGGCCCGGGCAGGGCTGCAGACCCTTTTGTCCTGGGAAGGGGCCGGCCACTCTGTAGTGGAGTCAGACCCCGGGGTTAGGGCAGAGGCCGGGTCTGGAGCAGGGACAAAGTCAAGTCCAGGGGTGCCAATGAGCCCTTTGGGCGGGGCCTGGCCCTGGGGGTGGAGCCATGGCCAGGCCCCCGGGGAGTTCAGTGGGTGGGGGGTGCTCTGGAGGCGGAGCCACTCGGAGGCTGGAGTCAGAGCCAGACAATAAATTCTCGTTGCAGGAAGCCCAGGGTTGGGGACGGGCCGTGGAGAAAGTGGTGTCAGGGTCTGGGGGCGGGGCCACTACACGGGGCGGGTCTTTCCCTGGGGGTGGAGTCACTCGGGGCCAGGTGGTCTTTGGGGGCGGTGGGGACCCCAGAGCCTAGCCACGCCCTCGCTCACTGCCTGCGCAGGGCGTACGTGTTCCGGCACTACAAGGTGAAGCGGGAAGGCGCCAAGTTCGTGATCGACTTGGAGGAGCCGGTGAGCGTTGGGCCTGGGTGCCCAGAGGGGGCACTGGCGGGGTCGCGCCCTGCCCAGCGGCCCTGACCGCGCACCCCATCCGCCCCCAGTTCTCCTGCTCCTCGCTGGACGAGGTGGTCAACTATTTCGTGACGCACACCAACAGGGCACTGGTGCCCTTGTTGCCGGACGAGGACTACGAGAAGGTGCTAGGTGGGTGCTGCTTCGGGAGCTCGGGGACCCAGTCCGCGCCCCTCCCGCCCCTGCCCGCACGAGGACACCCTGGGGCCGGCCCCGGGCGCTGCACCCCTTCTAGGCCACCCTCTGTGTTCTAGGCTACGTGGAAGCGGATAAAGAGAACGGCGAGAGTGTGTGGGTGGCGACCTCCGCCCGGCGCCCAGGTGACGCCCTCATCCAGCCACACCCCCTCCGCCCACGCGTTGCAGACACAGAAATTACCCAGCCCCGGCCCTCGAGGGGCTCCCAGTTTGGTGGTAGGGTGGCAGACAGGGCGGGACACAGACGCTGTCATCTCCGTGGGGTCAGACCTGGGGTGGAGGAGAAAGCTGGGTGGGCAGTGCCTAGATTTGGGGAGAAGTGGGGGGCAGGGCAAGGGAAGGCTCCCTGGAGGAGGGGGGTGTTTGCAGAAGGTCCCCAGGGATTTTAATGCTCCATGAACTGTGTCTGCCTGCAAAACCAGAAGCTCGCATACACCCGTGTAGACACTACAACTCCACACCTGCCTAAATACACCTGTCCCGCAATTCCGGTCATATGTACACCCTACGTGGCACAGATATGCCTATCTTAAGCCACAGTCGCAGGTACACAAATGCAGACACATCCGTTCACAAGCACAAAATCAGACACTTGTAGACACATATGCATAGCACCCTGATCTCTAGCATGTCCCTTAGCAGGTGTGCAGTGTCATGCACACAGACATACGATAGGCACCGCATGTACATACCTGGTACCTATATTACACTTGTGCACATTCAACCAGTGTGCATGTTTATGCTACACGGAGACATAAATACAGCTCATAAATGGGCACGTGCACGGGGACACGTGTGTGTAACCTCGGTTGCCCACAGACCTGCCCTGAGGTGTCCCTGCACCACGTGGGGCCACTCAGTGACTGCCTTCCCCCATCAGGTCCTGCACCTGCCACAGGCAGCCCCAAGCTGCCGCCTCCTGAGTCCCTGCCTCTGTCCAGCCAGAACAAGGTGCCTCTTTTACCTCCCCTGCCCCCGCTGCCAGGCCAGGAGGAGGACTACGTGACGCCCATTGGAGACGCCCCGGCTGCTGAATACGAGAACCAGGACGGTGGGTGGGGCCAGGGCTGCTGAGGGCCGGGGTGCGGGCAGCAGGCCAACAGCGGGATGTGACATGCCACACCTCTGTCCACGCAGTGCCTTCCCCTAGTGGGCCCATTATCCCGAAACCCAAGTTGGCAAAAGTTCAGGCAAAGCTTCCAAGGCCACCCACCGCACCCAAGCCAGGTAGGGGCCCCTCCTCCCCAGTCCCTGTCCCATCGATGGCCGACTGACCCGGGACCTCACCTGCCATCTCTTGCAGACCTCAAACTCCTGAACAGCAGCCTCACCAGGAAGCCGGCCGCCAGCGAAGCTCAGTCTTTCTCTGCCACAGCAGGTGCGGGGCCTGGGGATCCATGCAGGGCAGGCTTCCCAGGTGTGTGACCCACGCAGTCACCCAGGGCCCCGAGCTCCAAAGCTTCCTGCCGGTGAATGTCTTGCTGTCACCGTCTTGAAATCCCTAATGCTTTGGAGCACATTTTCCTTTTGCACTGGGCCCTGCAAATCTGTAGCCCGTCCTGGATGGATGTCGGGGGGCAGGGCAGGGACTGGGGGTCCCTGGCCCAGCTGAAGCCTCAGGCGCTGACCCCCCAGGGCTGGCAGAGGTGACCGCGGAGCTGCAGGAGAAGCTGCAGAGGCGGCGGGCCCTGGAGTACTGATGCGGACGCGGCGGGGGACCGGCGGCCAGTCTTGGGGCATCAGCCCAGCAGGCAGCTCCTGTCTCCCGGGATTAAAACTCAAGTGACCTCCAGACCCACGTGTGTGTTTGGCTTTGCCTGGGAGGTGGGAGTGAGGCTCCGTTGGAGCCAATGATTATCAGCTCTGCAAAACCCACCACCTCGCCCTGCGAGAAAAGCCCATCTAACAGCTGGCAATACTGAGGTCCCAGCGCCATACGACAGACACACCCACCCGGCCCCAAAGAACCAGCAGCACGGCTCGGCCAGTGTGAGACCTTTATTAGGGTGTGAGGTGGGGAGGAGGGCCCGCCTCGTGCCCACTCCCTGTTGGTGGCCCCCTATCAGGAGTTAATGCTCCAAGCAGCAAGTAAGAGGAGGATGCCCGGCTGAGGCCACCAGGCCTGGTGGCAGGCCCCCTGAAGACTCCCGCTGGGTGGGGGTGCTCGGCGGCCTAGGTGAGGCTGGTGTTGGAGCTGCTGGTGGCACTGCCCCGCTTCTGCAGGCAGCGCACGGAGCTGGGCACCTGCAGCCCTGTGGTCACCTGGAAGCTGCCACACCATACCTGGGGGAGAGTCGGGGCGGGAGGGAGGCTCAGCCTGGAAGCCCAGCGCCCAGAGCCACCCCTTCCTAGCCCAGGCCGCGGGGGCGGCTCACCGTGAAGGCGGGCAGCAGCGGCTGTGTGAACTTGGCCTTGAAGGTGTGCAGCACTTGTTTGGTGCGGGCGTTGTAGAAGGACAGGAGGCCTGGGTGGGGGGCAGAGATGGGGGCAGCGGTCAGAAGCAGGGTGGGGACGAGGGGAGGGGACTCGAGCAGAGGCAGCTGGGGGCCGTGGCTGGGGCTTGGGGTCACACCTTGGTGGAAGTCACAGTGCACACCCAGGCAGTCGGGCACGGGGGCGTCCAGCACCTTGACCTTGTTGGCGTGCTTGGCCGTGAAGCTGACCTGCAGCCAGTTGTTGACGTGCAGGCACCAGGACGAGGCCGTCTTGCCCAGCTGCTCGAAGCGGCCCAGGCTGCGGTAGGCCACCCCCACGCCGAACGCCTTGCTGTCCGGCTCGTAGCGGACCTCCCAGTAGTGCTCCCCGCCGTCGATCAGTGTGTCCCCTGCGGGGCGGGCGGGCAGAGGGACCTGGGTAGAGCCGGGTCCCAGACACGCTTCCAGGCTCGCCCTGCACCGCGGCTGTCCCCCCAGATACTCCCTGCGCCGCGGCTGTCCCCCCAGATACTCCCTGCGCCGCGGCTGTCCCCCCAGGTACTCCCTGCGCCGCGGCTGTCCCCCCAGGTACTCCCTGCGCCGCGGCGGTCCCCCCAGGTACTCCCTGCGCCGCGGCGGTCCCCCCAGGTACTCCCTGCGCCTCGGCTGTCCCCCCAGGTGCTCCCTGCGCCGCGGCGGTCCCCCCAGGTGCTCCCTGCGCCGCGGCTGTCCCCCCAGGTGCTCCCTACACCACAGCTATTCCCCCAGGTGCTCCCTACGGCACAGCTATTCCCTCCAGGTACTCCCTACATCACAGCTATTCCCTCCAGGTACTCCCTACATCACAGCTATTCCCTCCAGGTACTCCCTACATCACAGCTATTCCCTCCAGGTACTCCCTACATCACAGCTATTCCCTCCAGGTACTCCCTACGCCACAGCTATTCCCCCCCAGATACTCGTAGGGCCCAGGTATTCCCTAGGTTTTGTGAACTCCCTCTAGAGACTCACTAAACCCAGATGCTCTGCAAGCCTAAGCTACTCCTTTCAGATTCTCTACAAGCCTAAGCTACTTCTTTCAGACACTTCCTAGGCCTTAGAAACTCTGTAGTTCCACCCATGTTCAGATCCCCCTCGGTTCTTCCCAGAAACTGGGTCATCCTCGAACCCTGGAAACTGGCAGACTCATAGTGTCCCCATCAGTCTCAAGTCCTCGAGTGTAGATAATCCCTCTCATGCCCAGTTCTGGCAGAGTCCAGCTACTCCCCGGGACTCAGTGACTCCTTCCTGTTGCTCTTTAAATCCAGATTCTACCCAGACCCCAACTCCTGGTGGAGGGAAGATTCTCCCAGGCCTCAGCTACTCCTGAGGCCTGGAGTTTCCCTAGGTATTCCCCAAGCTAGTGACTCTCTAGGCCTCGGGTTCTCTTGGGGTCCAGATACTCCTCAAGTCTCAATTACTCTCTCCAGGTACCTTCTGAGTTTGATATTCCTTGGCTTCAATGCCACCAAGAGTCCAGATGCTCTCTAGATCTCAGCTAATCCCTGAGCTCTTCCCCACGCCCCAGATCTGCCACCTCAGCTACTCCCCGCAAGGTAGCTTCTCTTCACACTCCTGCCCCTCCCAGTTCACAGCTCATCTCCATATCCTAGCTCTTCCTCAGATCCAAGATAGACCCCTGTATATGAATATATTTCTTCTCCAGTTCTACTCCTCCCTGATCTCAGCTACTCCCTTAACCACAAGTTGCCTAGGCCCAAGGTCTACCTATCTCTCTCTCTCAAATCTCAGCAACACCAAAGAGCCCCCATATCTTCCTCTGCTTTCTCCCCAAACCCCAACACTCACCAATTCCAGGTGCCCCCGAATATTCAGATCCTCCGTAGAACCATAACTTCGTCTCAGACCCTAGCTTCTCCCCAGGTCCCAGCTGCTCCCCAACTTCCTCCCCCCGCCTAGATATTACAGACTTCATCATACCTTAGCTACTTTCTCCAGCTCTTTTCTAGACAGTAACGATTCCCCTAAACTCCAGTTCCTCCACTAATTTCAGCTTCTCCTTCGCAAGATCCAGTCATTCCTGTGGTGCTGTCTTCTCCTCTGATCTTACCTATCGTCTCAGCTCCTTCTCAGCCACCAGCTACTCTCTCTGGCTCCTTCACACTGTAAGCCACTTCCTCAAATTCCTGCCTTACTTCAGAAACCCAGCTGCTCCAGAGGCAACCATTTTCCCCAGCTACTCCCAAAATCCCAGCTACTCCATCCACTCTAGGAAATCGCCCCCAAGCTCCTGCCCAGCCACTTCTCAGTCCAGACCTTCCTTGCTTAGCTCCATAGGCTCTGGCTCCGCCCTGTAACCTATCGTCCCCAAATAGTCCCACTCCCTCAGTGCCAAGACAGCACATGTTGTTGGGACCATTCCCGGAGCAGCTTTGTGGACGGCTGCCTCTTGGTCCAGCAAAGGAGTTCTCCCTCCTCCTCCTCCACTGGGGCCCTGCCCCAAACTCCCGTCTCCCTTGCTTCTTCCCCTCCTTACCCAGCACCGTGTAGGACTCAGCTGTGAAACGGTCCCGTCCCCCACGACCTGAGGGCATCCTCTTGGGAGATGGAGTACCTCTGTACGGGGCAGGGAGGAGGAAGGCTCAGGTCAGCTGTCACCCCCCCCCCATAGGAACGCTTCCGCAGTCCACCCCGGCCACTGTGTGTGTGAATGTCTGGTAAGTCCCTGACAGCACTGGGCTCTTTCTATACACCGAGCCCCTCATATTCATGTCAGAACATGCCTGTACCCTTTCTCATCTAGAAAACTCCTATTCAACCATCAAAACCCTATTCGAAATCTCCTCTCACCTTATTCACACTCTGGGTCCCTATAGCCCCAGGTCTCTACCTCCACCCCAGCTCGGACCAGGCTGGCCTCTGTGTGTCCATGTCCACTTTGATCTCCTCCACCAGAGACTCAGGGACGAGAAGGGGGCAGGCTACCTGGCTGGGGAGTTGACGGGAGAAGCTGTCCGCCCCTTGCCGTCTTTCTCGCGAGCCTTGATATCCTGCACCTTCCCGCCCATAGCGTCCCACTCGACGGAGAGCTCGTCCACCCGCAGGTTCTGGTGGGATGTGGACGCATCCAGGCGGAACATGAACGCTGGGCCAGGCAGACACGGGAGTCACAGAGATGGGGAAGTCCGGAGAGACACAGAGACAGAGAGAGACAGACAGTGACCAAGACAGACCCAGACAGGGACAGAGAACAGAAAGAGACAGGAGACCAACAGACAAAGGCTCAGAGAGAGACAGAGACAGACAAGCAGACACCGAGAGAGACAAGGCGGGAAATGGCAGAAGGAACAGGACATGCAGCCAGGGCCGTGAGGGCCGAGGGGGTGTTGCCTAAAGGTCGCTCGGGTCTGGAGGCATTTTCAAGCCTATTGCCCTACTCTGCCTTCACTGAGGATTAACCCCAGGAAAGGGGCTGAGCTACAGCATGAGGGAGTTAGGCTAGACTGCAGAGGGACTTCCCAGCAGGGCATGCAAAGGTATCACAATGGGTGGTGTGGCATCTGTCTTCACTACTGATATCCCATCCCCAGCTCTACAGAGGACTCATCTATTTTTTTAGAAAAGAGACTGTGTGTGTTTGGGGGAGATGTATAAAAACCATCTGGGTATATACTAGGATCCACTTTAGAAGCAAAGGACAACAGCAGGGTCATACCAGACACTCAGGCTAAGGAAGGCACTGTGGACTGAGTTCTGAGCTTCCTGGCAGTCTGGGCAACAAAAGCCACAGCACCCCGATTAGAGGATTCTATTACACATTGGTCTCCTGGCCCTGGGAGGGAGGAACTATGGAGTCAGAGGGTAAGGTGGGGCAGGAGCCAGTCACCTGGTGTCTCCAGGGTCACTGGTTCGGAGAACTCGCCTGCAACTGCCTTGTTACAGGCCTTCACGCGGAAATTCATGTATTTCATGTCAAACTTGAGACCTGGGAGGCGACAGAAGGATGTCAACACCGTGTACATTCTGAGCCATGCGTGATAGCTGGTCACCTTTCTCAATAATCCCACTGCCCCGATTCTAAGGAGCAACCTTACAGACAACATCTGATCTTTGAGAAACTGTCCTTGTCCTGATCCACCTGCCAGGCTATGGATGACATGACTCCGCCTCCAACTCAGACAGGCCAATCGGGATGCTTGATGACCCAGTCACTGTGGTTGGTTCAGGGATGGGCACATGACCCAACCTGGCCAATCAGAATCGGCCCTGGGACTTTGTACTGTAGTGAGTGGAGTTGCCGCCCAGCTAAGAGGAAGAACCCCCAGGGGAAATCTGCCCGCATGTCTGGCGGCTCTCAGAGCTAAAAATGCAGGGAGCAAA